GCCAACTTGGGCCAGTGAAACAACGTCCTCCACAACTAGACTGAAGAACAAAAGGACAGCAACTTGTCTGTTCACCTTCCCCCAATTCCCCAGCGCTGTTCCCATCCCCAAACTCCCCAATAAAAATCTTTAAAATAAAAAAAAAATGCATGAAAAGAAGTTTAAAGACAATGTATCTTAATTTTCCTCTATTTTATAAACATAAGCTGTACCTTAAATATAATTTTCAACCCAGGCAATTTGGTAATGTCTGGAGACATTTTTGATTGTCATAATGTGGGGGAAGGTATGCTCCTGGCATCTAAAGAAGCCTGGGATGCTGCTAAACATCCTAGAAGTGTACAGTGACAACCTCGACACCAAAAAATTATCCAGCTTCAAATATCATTCCTGCCAAGGTTGAAAAACCCTGGAAAGTACAGAGATTAATGAAATATATCAATACACAATAATAAACTGAGCCTAGAAGCCAACTGTTTTACATAAACAAATTATTTTTATATTGGTTTAATACATACTGGATTTTCTAGAATTATACACTGTCTACTGTATATAGAATACAGCATGATTAACCTTTGTAAATCACAGAAAAGCTGCTTTTTGTATTTTTCAGATCTTTACGAAGAATTCTTTATCACTTAAGGAAAACACCAATTATGGTATATAAGTTGCCAATACATCACACCTGTGTTAGTCCATCTGCAGCTACCATGTCGTGGACCAAAAAGGGGCTCTACGGAAAGGAAACCTCATAGGGTGATCTGATCATAAATTCATAACTGGGCGGGTCACGGTGGGTAGTCACATAACTTTTTTCAGTAAAAGGCTTATATTTGCCTTAAGCAAGCCCTGTCCACTGTTTCTGTGTATCTAGGTTAACACACCTTTGAAATGCCTCTTTTTTCAGACCCTTCCTTCTTCTAAAATGTGAGGATTCTTTTAGACCCCTCCTTCTGAAGTGTGACCAACCTCAAAAGAACACAATCTTGTTAACTATCCTGTAATCCAATCCCTGCCTTGCTTCCTCTCACCTTCATGTAATCTCCCTTAATTTAAAATGCATAAAAGAAGCTGCAAACCATCATTTCTTGGAAGCATTTTATCTCAGTCTGTTGAGATCTTGCTTCCACACATATCCTTTTTGGCTCAAATAAATTCTTATAAAAATTCTCTACAGGTTTGAACATTTCTTACATCAATAAGCCCCTACATTTAGCAAAATGAGTGAGGCATATTACAGAAGATCAATAAGTATTTGTTGGAGCTTCCAGGTTGGTGAAGATGCAGGGAGGATGGCACACTCCAAGAGAGCATGGAAGTTCATGTCCATTCCCACATACTTTGCCTTATGCATCCCTTCCATCTGGCTGTCCCTGAATTATATTCTTTTACAATACACTGGTAATCTAGTATCTTAGAGTGCTCACTCCTGACACTCCCTCTCAGAAACCAGCCACTCTTCTGTGAGAAGCCAGTGTCTCATGGAAAAAGTCACATGGAGAAGCCCAACCAAGCTCTCAGCCAGCAGTTATCAACTACTGGCCATTCTGGACATCAAGTCTAGTTGAACATTCAACCCCAGCTGCCATGTGACTGCAAACACATTTAGAGACATCAAGAATTGCTCAGTTGAACACAAACATGGAACCAAAACAAATATTAATAAGTTGTTTTAAGCCGCTAAATTTGGAGTGAGTTGTTACACAGACGTGGATAACTAGAATACCTTCTCATTCAATCACTTGTTGGTTTTGCTTAATAACTTTACCACATGTATATATCATTTAGAATAATTTTGCAAACAAATATTTGCTGAATAAATGGATTCATGAATAAACAAAATAGATTGTACCAAAAAAATCCCAGAAAGTGTCAACTATGGAATAAAAAGAAGAGAATGAAGTTGGTAAACTGATAACTAGAAGTTTAAGCAAATTACTGAACGATATAGAGAACCACTTTATATATATACATATATACATTTATATAGAAGAGCCCCCACCAAAATCATACAATTTCCAAATAATGTGGAAAATACATCATATAACATAGTAAATAAAAATGACACTCAGAGCTGATTCAAAAAGTTAAAACCAATCATACGCCATCTACAAAAGAAATATCTAAAACAAAGGTATAAAGTAAAAGAATGGGCAAAAATATATCAAGTCAAATTAATACGACCAACAGGGATACTTTATACGATTATAGATACAATCCTTAAACTGTCTGTCAAGAACATTTATAAACCAAAAACACTGCAGGAAAATATATAAAGTAGTATCTACAGAAAATACTGGAAAATGTCACAAAAATATAAAAGCAATGGGAGATTTTAACATTTGTTCCTTCATTGCTCAGATCAAGAAGTCAAAAAAATGACTATGTAAAGGGTGATCTGATGGATTGTATTTTCTTTTAAAACAAAAACACAACAAAAGTAAAATAAACCAATAGCTAGCATAACAAAGAAATGAGAGAGAAAGCCCAAATACAAAGTTAGCAATAAAAAGGGGAAATAACAGAAGAAAAAAGTAAACAAGTTGTAGTTCATACTCTGCAAAATTATACTCTATTAAACTTGAAAATTAAAAAGGAATAATTTTATAGGAAAACACAAATTACCAAAATTGATTCACAAGACAGAAAACTTAAAGGAGGACACAGCCAAAGAAGATATTATGAATGTTGCTTAAGCTTCCAGTCAAGATGGCAGAACAGGCAAACACTGTGCTGGCCTCCTCCCATGACCACATCAAAATTACAACTATGGGACCACCACCACCACCACTGAGAACTGCCTGCGTCTAGCTGAACAGAAGTCCTATAACTAAGGATATACAGAACAAGCCATGCAGAGACTTGTAGAAGGGGCAGAGACATGGAATGGGCTGCTCCCATACCTACGCGTGGTGGTATAAACTGGGAGCAATATCGTGACTGTGGAGGTCGCCCCTGAGGAGTGAGGGGTCCCAGCCCCACATCAGGCTCCACAGCCCAGGCTTTCACTGTTGGGAAGGGAAGTCCCCACAATTTCTGGCTGTGAGAACCAGCAGGGATTGTGACTGAGACAGAGGGCTGCTGAAGTCCCAGGCATTCCTCTTAAAGGGCCCATAAACAGACTCACTGATGGACTCACTCGGTCTGAACTCCAGCGCCGGGGCAGCAGCTCCAAGGCACCAGGAACATACAGGGAGGAACTGATGTAAGGGAGAGGGCTGGAGGGGCAGCTTTCTCCAAGACACAAGTTCTGAAAAGATGCCATTGTTCCTTTTATGAGCCTTTCCCCAACCCAGCCTGCATGCATGCACAGGCGGGCGCCATCAACCTGGCTAACACCATTCACCCTGCCCTGTAGACCCCACCCTACCCAACTTGCAGGCCCACCCAAGCAGCTTCCAGTGGCTTATCCATACAAACAGTCTGTCTTGGCTCATGCTGTAACTTTTCTAAAATTTCTAAAAAGTTCACGAACTCCAAACAAGCAGCATCTGGCCTCAGCGTGCCCCATACCTGTTGTTAAACAACCCCAAGCCCAGCACTAGCAACAGCTGGCTCAGTTTACAGCCTAGCCTCTCCCAGGCATCTCCAAGCCCAGCACAACTACAAAATGCAGATCACTTTGCAGCTCAAACCAAGTGGCCCCAGGCAGGGCATAGGCAACAGCTGACGTTGGCTTGCAACAAAGCGCCTCCCCAAAAGGCCCCAGAACCAACACATCCAGTGGCCAGCTTCAGACCACAGCAGAGCACCACCCAACCACCTCCACAAATGATACAGCCAAAGGGCAGACTGGGCAGGCACTAGAGCCCTGCTAAAGCAAATCCTGCTCCATAGGGTCAGCCCCTGCACAACAGCTCCTCCACTGTAGTCACAGTCAGTGCTTATAACCAATCAGACTGAGGTTCAATCCCTCCCATTATTGTGACAGTAAGAATCAAGGCTCAACTACAACAGGAGGGCACACACCTATACAAGGGACATACCTAGAGCACCTGCCTCAGGTGATCAGGAAGACTGTGCCACTGGGTCCCACAGGGCACCAACTACATAAGGTCACTCTACCAAGACCAGGAGACATAGCAGCCCTACCGAATATATAGAAATAAACATAGGGAGGCAGTCAAAATGAGGAGACAAAGAAACATGTTCCAAATGAAAGAACAAAACAAAACTCCAGAGAAAGAACTAAACAAAATGGAGACAAGCAATATACCAGACGCAAAGTTCAAAACACTGGTTATAAGGATGCTCAAATGATCTCAGGGAGAACTTCAACAAACAGATAGGAAACATAAAAAAGCAATATTAAGATATAAAGTAATAGTTATAAAACAATAAAGAAGTAAGTGTTTTTGGTACAACTGAGCTATAAGCATAAGAAGTCATAAACTGTTGTACCATGATTGGAAGAACAAATAACCTAAAATTTTTCAAATTAAATATTCCAAAATCCATTCTGAGAATCAATATTTGATGTAGGAGATATTAGCGCTGTTCTAAGAGATGATAATGCTAAAAAGGCAATACTTTAAAATTTAAATTATAATTGTAATATGAATATAAATTTTGTCACCCTAAATTTGTAACATATTTGCAAATTAAAGAAAGTATTTATAGAGGAAGACTTACCTTCGTCCACAGAAAATTGACAGCTCTTGTCATTGAAGAAAAGAATTTTCTTCTTATCTGGACGATTTACAAATAGTATCTGGTCCCCTAAAGCCTTAAAGATAAAGAAAATTTTTTCAGTTAACTCTAAATTACCTTACCTCCCATCAATTTGTTTTACAACAAAGGATCCCATTTCTTTTAACCTTCAGTATACCATTAGAGTCCACTAGACCCAATTTTAATTCTTGAGGTTCTTTTTTGAATAATTTCAATTTAAAAAATTTTTTTTTTATTGGGGAACAGCCATGGTCATTGGTTACACGTTACTTTCATGCTACAATGGCATAGTTGACTCTTTTAGGGAGGGCACAGCTCACAGTGGCCCATGCAGGGATCAAACCAGCAACCTTGGTGTCATCAGCACCATGCTCTAACCAACTGAGCTAACGGGTCACCCTCATGACTATTTTTAAAGATAGATATTTCAAGACTTTTAGTCTTAGAGGCTTTCCAAAATACAGAAAGAAAATATACTTATGTTTAAAAACCAGAATACAGGGCCGGCCGAGTGGTTCAGCTGGTTAAGAGCTCACTTGGAAACACCAGCTCTGAGCAGCAGGGCTGTGGTTTGAGGTATTTTTTGTTTGTTTTTGTTTTTGTTTTTGTGGAGGGCCCTCATATGTGGGATCCGAACCGGGGCCCTCTGGCGTCCCAAGCCAGTTCTTAACCATCGCGCCACTCGGCTGGCCCGAGGGCTGCGGTTTGGATCCCACATTGAGGGCCAGTGACGCTTGCCCTCTACAGCTAAGATGATGAACAACGGCTCGACCTGGAGCTGGGCTACTGTGAGTCACCAGCGACGGCGTAGACTGCAGCAGGGCTGCAGTGGGCTGCCACAAGCTATGTTAGTGGCTGGCAGCCAGCGTGAGCGGCTGGTAGCCAGTATGAGCTACTGGGAGCTGCTGTGAGCAGCTGACCAACGACAGGCGACCGACTGCCTCACCCGGGAAGAGCACAATGATCATACCAACATGGGCCAGTGAAGCGACATCCTCCACAACTAGACTGAAGAACAAAAGAACAGCAACTTGTCTGTTCCCCTTCCCCGATTCCCCAATGCTGTTCCCCTCCCCCAATTCCCCAATTAAAAAAAACTTTAAAAAAACAAACAAAAAACAATAAAATTCAATATATGTAGCAATTATGATTTGGGTCCATTGGACCCTTCTATTAATCTAATAAAAATTGTAGGATCTTAATGTTTTTACTTTTCCTCTACCTTGAAATATTTTGCTACTTGCTCATCATTACCCATCAATTATTTCCAATTATGTTTTAAAAAGCTAAAATAAAAATGTAGAAGAAGATTAAATCACCTAGGGGTGTGAAGTAAATAGCCACACTTCAGTTTTCTTATTGTATTGCCCAAAGTATTGCATCATCTTTCAAGAAGGTATAAAACACTAAAGAGTCTTTGCTGTCTTTAGCTTTCCTGATCACAGCTGACAATTGAGAATTTTTTATTTTCTATTCCTCAGAGCAATGACAAGAAAACCAACAGAAGATATTTCACTATTATTAATGAATGAGAACAATAATGCAAAATCCTGAGAGCAGCACTCTAGACTCTGATGATGGTGGTGAAATTCATCACAGAAATGGTGTCTTAAACTATGTGTTTAGATAACAATACCACAGATGAATAATCTCAAGCTTAAGATTCAGCAAGTGAACATAAATCTTCAAGGACATAAAGGAAATAAGGTATTTTTATCTAGTTAGTCATTCAACAGGAAAGACTTCATAAGCAATATTGTATGATAAGGACTTTGCCATTTCACTTTGCTAAAAGGGCACATTCTTTCATCTTTGTGATGTGTTTGCCAAAATGTGCTTAATACATAAGTTTTTATGTTACATTATTAAAATTTCTAATAAAGCTGTTTTTTCACCTATCCTTTATTTTTATTTAAATTACTCATAACTTATTTTTTAAAGTAATAGACTTCATTGGACCCAGGTAGTAAGAACAGAATAAAAATTCTGCATTTTGAATAATTTTGAAATAATCCTGCCTGAAAATGAAACAGATTGTGTGCTTTTTGTGATCACTTTACCTCTGAGCATCCTTATGGAACAGAGCCACTAAAGATAGGGTGTCAAAGTAACTTTACATCACAAACTCACTTAGAATAAGCAACTATCAGTTTACACCACTGTTCTACTTTAGAATGTGATGAAAAGCCTACTGCACGGTAATAATACTGGTCCCTATCAAAACAGGAAAAAAAAAAAAAAAACAATGGAGCAGGAAATATACCTAGCCTTCTCAACTGTTAAGCTAGGATTCAGTAGTTCCACATTCCAACAAGCTATCAAGCGCAAAATTCATAAACTTTGTTCACATGTTATTTGCAACATTTGTGTAGGTTAAGTTTAGACACTTTCTGTTTCTTTTTTAGTTCTTTTTTTTCTTTTTTGTTATTATTATTTTAAGATTTTATTGGGGAATTGGGGGAGGGGAACAGCGCTGGGGAATTGGGGAAGGAGAACAGACAAGTTGCTGTCCTTTTATTCTTCAGTCTAGTTGTGGAGGACGTTGCTTCACTGGTCCATGTTGGTATTATCGTTGCGCTCTTCCCGGGTGAGGCAGTCGCTCGCTGGCCATTGGATGGCCGCTCACCGCGGCTCACGGCAGCTCACGAACGCTCACACCCGCTGCCGGCCAGCCCCACTGCAGCCTATGCCATCGCCAGCGACTCACGGTAGCCCAGTTCCAGGTTGAGCTGCTGTTCACCATCTTAGCTGTAGAGGGCGCAGTGTCAATGGCCCTCTAAGTGGGATCCGAACTGGGGCCCTGCTGCTCAGAACTGGCATCCCAAGCCAACTCTTAACCAATGTGCCACTCGGTTGGCCCTGTAATTATTTCTTTTAAGTTTAGACACTTTTAAGTTAAAAATCATAAAAGGGTTCTGCTCTAGAAATGGCCAAATAGCTCCTAAAGGGATCAACTCTTCCACAGAAAACTACTATAAACTCTGGACAAGACATTTTTTAAAAAGCAAAAAAGCTGAAAGAACAAAACAGATTTATCATATGCCACCCACTACAGAGAAGATCAAGTTTGGAGCTTGAGTCTAGCTAAGATAACTGCCCAGTTGAAAACAAAACATTAAAAAACACTCTTTGGGGCCAGCCGAGTGGCGCGTTGGTTAAGAGCTGGCTTGGGACGCCAGAGGGCACCGGTTCGGATCCCACATATGAGGGCCAGTGACACTGCCCTCTACAGGTAAGATGCTGAACAACAGCTCAACCTGGAGCTGGGCTGCCGTGAGTCGCCGGCTGCAGCCTCTGCTGCAGTGGGTTGCCATGGGCTACTGTGTGTAGCCAGCAGCCA